GGCTAGTGGGATGGTAAAATGGGACAATCACTCTGAAAGGCAGGTTGGTGTTTCCTCAAAAAGTTGAACATAGAAATTCCATATGACCCAGTTATACCACTTGTAGGAATATGCCCCAAGGAAATTAGAACTGAGATACAAATAGAGATTTGAACACCAGTGTTCATAGCACTGTTATTCACCATTATAAGAACATGGAAATAGCCCAAATGTCCAACTACAAGGTGGACTGAAAATGGATTGAAAAATTGTGGTATATTTACACAATGGAATACTATGCAGCACTCATGAGCAACAATTTTGAAAAATACTACAGAATTGGTAGGGACTGGAGAGCATCATGCTGAGTGAACTAACTCAGTCTTATAAGGACAAATACTTCATAAGGTCATTATTGTAAAAATAGAAGGATAACTAGTAAAGCGTGTATGGGGACCCACAGTGGGAAAGGGTGGGAAGGAATAGAGGTGTGAGGATGGGTAGGAGCAAAACCACAGGGTTTCACAGTTTGGTGGGTGGAGGTAGGGGGTAAAGAAAATGGGAAAGATCTGGCAAGGACCTAAAAAGACAGGGTGGTGTTGTGCACAGTTCAATAATGATTAATTTTATAAAACATAATGAATGGGAATGATTGTATGAAACACAATGTAAAAAAAGAATAGTGTGAAACACAATGTATATGAACTTTGTAAGCAAACAAATATAAAGTAAAAATTAACAACACAATCAAAGGAAAGATATTATCTTGTATCATGTAAAATTTAAGGATTCCTGATTAAAAAAATATTGAATGTACCATGAATGAATTTAAGAACAAACAAATCTCTCTTAGACATACAACCTTAAAGATGAGGATAGTGAGAGTTCATGTCACACACTTTGAGCACGTCATCAGGAAGGCCAGTCACTGGTATGGAATGTCATGCTTGGAAAAACAGAGGGTCAGCAAAGCAGAGGAAGATCCTCAATGACATGAGATGGACTGAAGCAGTGGCTGCACAACGGGCTTAACCAGTGCGCATTGTGAGGATGGTTGGGACGGGGTAGGGTTTCCACTGTGTGGTACACTGGATTGCTCTGTGTCTGAGCCAACTTGAAGGGTATCTAAGAACAACAATGGACTCCAATAACATTACTTAAATTTCTCACTGATAAATCTCCTACAACTAGACTGCATCAAGTAATGAACTTGTCATCTGGTGTTTTCTTGCCTTCTGTCATTCTGACTCAGCTCTACCTGACTGCTTGCCTAAAAGCAGGCTGTTCTGTGTTAAATCAATCTTATCAAGGCCCAGGATACCTAATTCAATTTCTCGCTCCCTGTGAGTCTTCTCTTTCCCCACATTATATACTGCTGATTCCCTTTGCCTCGTGTATAGACTGAAATGATGTCCTGAACTTTGTTTTTACTGCCAGATATGCTAACTCTGTTGCCAGCAATGCTGAGGTTTACTGTCTTCTAGAATTTCCACCTCCATTCAATTCTAGATGAGTAAAAATTTAATAACAATGATCGTAACAGCAAACAGTGAGTTTATTAGGCAAATACAACCCAAAGATAAGTCTGCAACCCATTCTAGCGGCAAAAAATGAGCCTTTCCTACACAGTCCAGGAATGAATACAATAATGTCCTACCAACACCCCATCTTTCCCAATCTGATGTAATTCTGACAGCCACTTTCTAAAAGAGATTTCTG